TACTTGGCTACTTTATATTTCCCGATATTGCTTTTACGACTATCCTAATAAAATTGAGAAACACCAAAATGATTTATTTCCCAAAGTTTGCTATATTTCTTTTGTTTCGCTAATTTGGTCTGAAGAAAATTCGATCTCTTTAAATAAGTTTTTTTTTTTTTTTTTTATCCTACTCCCTATGGTATTTTTTCCCTTTCAAAACTGAAATAATAATCATTGACATAGTGAATTTAAACTCCGGTCAAAGACTCCGGACGCAAATCATGCGGAATTGGCACCCCCGATTTATGCATGAGTTGATCATGTGCTTCTAATGATAATAGTGGCTTTCAAATCAAATGAACAAACCTAACGCGTATAATATCCGATAAATTTCTAAACTCTCTGTTTTATTTCCTTATTTTTTTCCCTTTATCAAATCACTTTACGTTCTAAATTCGTTAAAATTCCTAGATTAAGAATGAATTACATTTTTTTTTTTTTTATACATATATATAACATAGTATTCACACACTGTTTAAAATTATATAAATAAGCTAACGAATAAAGTAGGAGAATGACAACGAAAACCATTCGGAGTTAAATAATTACAGGAAAAAAAAAAATAAAAGTATTGATAGATAGCATGTTGTCTAATACTATTCCAAATTTTCAAGATGAACAAATATTCTTTTTATATCACATATATGTTTCTTATTTTAAAATTAAGCATTTTCGCGTTCCATACTTGATTATAAATTTTTTAAGTGTCAAGGAACCAATCGTAAACCACGTTTCCTTATCGAGTAAGGTTGTTCTTGCACAAGTTAAATGGTTCCCTTTTGATCAACTAATTGAAAAAAAAAAAGACAACATTTGGTGGTCTTATTTGACCAATTGATTGAATTGATCTTATGAATCTTTTTTTTTTTTTCTTTTCCAAATGATCTTCTTGTACGATATTATAATATAATATCTTTATGGAACATTTTTTTCCTTTTTAAAAAACGCCTTAAGATCACGTTCATAAGCTCACATCTCAATTCCTTTGTTTCAAGGGTAAGTTATGTGAATTGTAATATATTACTGTAATGTTAAACAATTATGCAAAGTTTTATTCAAGTAAATTCTTTTAAATCCGATCAAAATCCGATAACGAAGAATGTGAAATTTTTTTTTTTTCATTGTGCGATTTAAGTTTTATGCAACATGTTGTATAACGTATAAACGAAAGTGATTATTCAAAAAAAAAAAAAAAAGGTTCCTTGATCGCGAACTTTATTATCAATCAAGGCTAGCACCTTCAAATAAATTCACCCTACTTTTTTTTTTTTTTCACCCTGTTTCGTCTTTATTCATAATTAAATATTAAATATGTTTGCGTCAAAACAATAATATAAATAAAACAAAAAATTTAAATTGCTATTCGATGACTTAGATTCATTACCTATTTGTTAAACTAAAACAGGATCATGTTATTATATAATTGGACCATTTACAGGAAATTTTAAATCCGTTTTTCTTTATCCCAATTTTGCCAATGGTAACTCGTTAACCTAACATCATCGATGATTAGTGATTTATTTATTTAATGTAAACCTTTAAATGAATTTTATTACATGTTTTAAAAAGTGTTTATTGTCATGATTTATTTGGGAGAGAAGTCATTGATTAAACGCGTTACTATTCGTGGCGCGGTTGCAGATCCAGCTCCGGTAGATCCCCACCAGCCACGTTGATGGCAAATTAACCCATGTCCATGGACCCCCCATGTTGTTGGGACCAATTCGTCACATCATACTGGCGTAAACATCTAGAACATCTAGAAAGGAATTCGTAATTTTTTTAACTTCTTTATTCCTTTTATTTTCTTTTTCTCTTTTTGAATTGAAATTAAAAAAAAAAAAAAAAATAATAGAAATTAAAATGGTGATAAATAATAGATTTGTGATATAATCTATGTGGACCCCCAAAAACAATCATTTTGATTCAAAAGGGCAAAGGAATTAACAAAAAAAAAAAAAATTATTTTTTTTTCTGACTAATGATTGAAAAACAAGTTTAAACAGTTTTACAACACTATTGTTTATGTCTAATACTTTAATTCTAAAAATATATTTTTTTTTCTCTCTTATTTACTAAAAATAAAATGTTTGATATTGTTTAATTTGTGGCGCCATTCCCAAAAAACTTCGGCAACCTTTAATTTCAACCCGGACCGAAATTCATCCGCGGACTTGTTTATTTATTTTTTTTCTTCTCAATCTATTAAATCTTAACCTTAAAAAGAAATAATAGTTCCCAGAATCAAACAACAAAATTCGCCAAGTAGGAAAACTATTTATAGATTTGGTAAAACAGATAAATTTTCAAATCTGGATTAATACTAGATTAGAATAACGTTGAAGTCAAAGTGAGGCAACTATAATTAGATTTAATGTTTATTAACTCATAACACAATCACGCAGTTCAGTTTATATTTAGAAATTAGATCGCCTCAATGATTTACGACGAAATCTTTCATGAATATCAATTAATTTAATTTTCTCACATGAATGTTCTCGAATTGTATGGTTAACATAATCCTGATACGATTTTTCCATCCAATCAGGTGCTCCTTTACAATATTTCAAAGTCGCACAAGTTTAATTAAGTTTGCTTCTCAAAGATTTGTTCGAACGATTATATATGTAAGAAAGAAAATCTTCCTTTTCCTTTACTTTCTACTCCGCTAAAATCACATTTGGGAAGAAATATATATATATATATATAGTCACATACTCTTTTTATGAACCCCATTGTTTTTCATCGCCTCAAAACCTTTTTTATTTTTCAATGATACATTCCATTCTTGACACATCAGGGTTAGTCTATAAGAAAAAAAAAATAATTCATGAATCAATTTTGTATTCTATTTTTAAATCGATCACTCGCATACTTTTCTTTGTTTGGTTAGAAGTATCTCATTTAGTTTTATAAATAGATTTAAACTATTTTTCTATTTACATAACAATGAATTCACTATAGATTGTTAATTTACAATTAAGAAATGCCACACGCAATGTAAACTTATTTTAATGTAATTAGCAAACATTGTAAGTAATTTATCTCTATTTCGATCATTGATAAAAATAGGTCATCTTGACCTTTTTTTTTCTTGAGATTGGTTTTCTATATTAATAATATTAATTTAAGTTGAAAATAATATTCGGGCTTTCTCTTGCTATTTTTGGCTTTCAGAAGTGTGAACTAAAAAAAAAAAAATTCCGCATTAGAAGGAAAATTTTAGAGAAATTGTTAGGCCATTTACACGAAATGGCAAAAGAGTTTTTTTTAGAGGCTGGGATACCATGGCTTGAACACATGATATATACTTAATAGCGAAAAGGTAATGATTTTTTTTTTTTTTAAAAAAATAATTCCTCACGTCTTGAAGCAGGTGTTGGAAAAAAAAAGTGATGGATTAATAAAACAAATCTTTTATTTGCGATCAAGCTTGTAAGATTTAAAGGAATCTCAATTTTAACCTTTCATAAAGAAAATATACATTTATTAGTCGCTAGCTTTGATTAAACATCATCTAATTTCACATCGAAAACCCACATTTATTTTGTCGGGTTATAATTATTGAATGTTCTTCGTAAATGAATTCCTTTCCTTGGTAAAAGTCAAATCCAACGTTTATAACATTATCCAATTATCCAACGCGTAAATGATAATTAAATCCTTTCCAAATATTTTCAGTTAAAAATAACAACTACATTAAATCAGCACCTATTATTATATCATTAATATTAAATATAGAAAAACAATTTGTTCTATTTTTACATGATGTGCATACTTAAGTAATAAATCAATTTAATCTCATTAAATTTTTGAATCATGAAATGGATTATCGTTTTCATTTAATTACCACCTCGAAATATGTTCAGGACATAAAATTGAACCAACCGAATGGTTATTTATTCGGTTCCAATTCTCTGAAATCCTTCTAGGATTTATGTCTATTAAGTATTCGGTGGTGAATTTACAGAAAGCAATAAATATCTTTTGATGCTATTAAACCATTAGATACTTCTAACCTTACTTCTTTGTATGCTCTTGTCCATATTATTATTATGCTTATCATACGGATTATACAAAGTTACATGCTATTAATTTGAAAGTTTATATGAAGTTGTCATCATACTAATGAAATAAAATCAAAAGGTTGAGAATGTAATACTTACATTATATTTTGTAAAGTTGTTTCCTTTGAACATTTTCTACTCTATTGTTGACCTCTTTATAAATTCAGTAAAACAAAGTGATATTTTCTTTGTTGCTTTTTTGTGAAAATTGAAATTAGTTGGCATCAAAACCCTTGAACAATTATCGGATTTAATAGTTTCATCAGGTAAACTGATAGGCAAAGCAAAAAATTGACTTTTTGAGCTTTTCAGGTCGAAAAAAAAAATAGGATCATACTAATAAGACTCTTGACCGCAGTAAATATTAGTTCACGTGATTTTACAAGGAAAAAAAAAATAGGAACACCAAATTTATTCTTAAATTAATCATTTTGAAAAATTCGGTAAAAACCAATTTTATTAATTTTATTTGATAATTCTTTGATGAGGTTAGAAAAAAAGTTCATTTAATAATAATACCCACTAATAATACTATCCAAATGTTCAGTTTCAAAATTAAAATATTTTCAATTCGTAGATAATGTATTTTACATTATTTGATGCAAGTTAACACGAGGTGACGGATTATTCTTTTATTTCGCTTCGCATCTCGTTTTAAGAAGCTGCAGTATATGATGAATAGTAAATTAATTCCTTTCGTTAGTAATTTTCTTCTCCCTAAAGAATATAACTTTAATAAAAAATCTAACTCATTAAATAAGGAAATAAAATAAGGTTATATACAGAAATTATATAATATATATAATATATATTATTTTTTTTTTTAAAAAAAAATTTAAAAATTTCGTGAATATACAATTATAGAAACATATTACAATAAATTCTTGCCCTCTATCGTTTTCGTTTCGTCGAATTTTTGATTTTATTCGCTGATGAAACTTGAGCAGAACTTCCAGAAGAGCCCCCAGAAGAACCTCGAGAAGCGACAATAGAGTTTTTTGGTACAACACGATTAGTATTTTGGTGTGTCTCACGACCATTTGATTGCCAATCATCACGACTGACGTTTTGTTGTACGTTTTTTTTGGGGATCTTTATAGTTGTGCGAGCAGATGCTGCTTCTCGATCAATATCTGGTCGAGCATTCTGAACTTGTGTATTACTACGAACAGATACTTTGGGACCAACACGACTATTTTCTTGTCTCATGTTTGCACTTTGTTTTATTTGACGATTAGGTTGCCTTTGAACATCCGGACTTATGCTTTGTTGCATATCGTGGTTACTAATCCTCTGAATCTTTGGACTAGTGATTTGTTTTGCCTCACGGTTGACGCTTTTTTGCATGCCATGATGTTGAGGTTGTTTGGTATCCCGAGGCATGGGCCTTTGAATATCCGGACTAGAAGTTGTTTTTGATTCTCGGGAAATTGCTCTGTGGTGATCTGGATTAGCTTGCTTCAATTCTCGAACTATTGACTTTTGAAAGCTTTGATTAGTTGATTGCCTAGCTTGACGATTGACTGTCCTCGAAATATTTGGACTTGTAGACTGTTGATCATGAGCAATTGCTTTGTTAATCGCCTTACGCAATGGTTCGAGCATCTGTTTTTAAGAGTTGTAATATATTTTTTTAATCGTTAAAAAGAGAAAAATAACAATAATGATTAAACTAGATTAAAAGAAGAAAATTTTCTCATACCTGTATGGCCTGTATTATTGCATCATACCATTCAAAATTTACATCAGTCTTTGGAGATCCGTTGGAATTTAGACGATTTCCACCAACCTGTCCAGAACTGATTCTTGAGCCGATTTTTAACCGTTTACCATTAACGGTAGATCTTTGCTCCTCTCTATCTGATCTTTGACCCTTCTGAATTGCATTGATATCGGGTGCTCCATTCTGAAGGTTAAATCCTTGTTTATAATCATCATCTGGTTGCAACTCGGAAATTTGATCAATCTTTTCTAAAACGGACTTTAGTTGTTCCGTCATCCGCTTGTTTTTTTCTACTTTTTCCTTGGAGGCTGACCCAACGGATGCCCAAAAATGACGTAAAAATTCATAACCCATCAACTGAATTATATTAACTTCTTTTTCAATTTTCTGAGGAAGATGTTCTATAGAATTAAATTAAATAATTCAACGTCTGTAATGTTATATAACAAATAAAGATACAAGATTTAGCAGACACTAACCAATTTTAGGTTTTGACTCACTCATACGGATTTGCTTATCTTTGATAATTTCATTACACTTTTTCGTTACCGAATTAAGGATAGGGGTTTCTAGTAACGAGTGCTTATATGAATGGTGGAAGAAAAGGAAGATTAATGAATGAATTAGAAAACATACATTTCAAAATCAATGTATTTACCATTTTCAAATTAGGATACCACTTTGCAAAACTTTCTTGGAACTTATTTAGTAATTCAGTAGAGCCTTGGTGTTTAATCGAACTCTAATAAATATATATTGATTGGTTATTCAAAGGAAAATAAGTTAAACCTTGTAAATTATAACCGAAATTAAACTACCTGCTCAGAGCCAACCATTTCAACATCATTATCGATTTCAGCGGTTTGACTAGCAAAGTATTCACGTTGGTCCGTAATATCTAACTTGAATGTTCTGAGTGACTCCTCTTCTATTAAGTCTTCCATTACAATGTCTTCTGTATAAACCTCTTTCTATTGAAATTCAAATTAAGTATATCAAACCTATATATCTGAAAAAGTAATTATTAACTATATATAAAGTTCTTTTAAACCTTTTGTTGCTGAGAAGTCATTTCTTTATGTCTGCGTGAATTTTCGCTAAATTAAAAATAGCATATAATTATACTATTTGCATATTTACTAGCAATCAATAAACTAATAATCAATTCATTATAATAATTCAAAACGAACCATGCGGATTCTAATATTCGTTCACCATGTCGATTATTTCTTCGTAATAGAGAGAGAATTTTTCCTTGACCCGGTCTCATTGTAATATCTGGTGCAAAATCAATCTTGACCAAAATGGTAATGCACATAAATGTTAAATTTTGAATTAATATTTAATTGTATATATTTCATAGAAAAACTGTTACCTCCATATGGTCTTCTTTTGTTGCATTCAAGTCTCTAAGGTTACTTATTTTTAATCTCTTTCGTCCGTGCTCCCTTTCTTGATTTAAATCTTATATAATAATAATAAATTCAGATATTTTAATTCATAGAACATAAAGTAACAACTATCGATAAAATATTTATAAGTAATTAATAGCAGAAACTATTCACCTTCTTCAGTTTCTGCCCAACATTTATCAAATATATCATCACTAGCTATGCTTGTTGTTGCCTTTGCTCTATTTCGATCGTTAAATTTAGATTGAACGTAACGTGTCCAAAAAAGCTCTTCAGTTATCTGAGAATAACGGTTTTTTTTTTTAGAATAAACTATACGTTTGATATAGAAGACTAAATTGACAATTTATGAATTTACTATGCCTTATCAGGAACATTTTCATCGTATGCAGTTTTGACTCTTGGATATTCTTCAAATATCTCATGGATCAATTGCGGAGTAATGTTTATCTTGGCTTCTCCACCTTCTTCGGTAACTGGACGCAGATTAGGCATCGTTGAGGAACGGCCCTTCTGTTGGCTCGTTCGTGTATCTTGATCACGTAATAGATTCTAAGCCATCATCCACCGTTTTAGTTTATCGCTTTTAAAAAAACAAACAAACAAACAAATGGCCCATAAAATATGGTCAGAAGAAAACATGAAAAATGTATGGAAACACCATACTTTTCTCAATTCCCAGAATTCCTCTTCTGCGATACATTTCTGTTCAACGACAAGTATTCTATGTTGATCTGCTAGTCTTTTATCTCTCATTAGCAAGTTCTTACGTAAATTAATTTCCATCGCACTAGGCACTTTCCTCATCGGTAACGTCGTACCATTTCTACCATTTGTTGTAGCACCATTTTTATTTTGTTGCAAACCATTATTCCACACAGCAGGTGAAGAACCACCAGATGCAGGAGATGGAGCTGTAGACCTATAATGTACTGGCGAAGTTGTCGCCGACCGTTGTGGAGCTGGAGAAGGGGCAGCTGATCGTGCTCGCGATATACCACTTGTAACTCGAGCCTTTATTATGTTAAGCTCATCCCATGCTGATTGTGATGTTAAGACGAATGTATAAGTAATATCTTGATTACATAATATTCTAAATTTTGCAGCGGCAACATTTGGTTTGCCCACGAAAAAAGCTTAGTGAATAAAGCATTAAATGTTGAGTAAATATTAGCTATGAATAAGTAAAAATTTTAAAACTAATCATTTCTAAAGAAGAAAAATCAAAGCTAATAAACTACATTTCATTTCTGATATTGCTATATCAATTGTCGGATCATTTTCTCCCTTAGCGGTCCATTGTAATTTCCTGGGAAACAAAATCATGAAACCGTCTCGGTTCTGATAACTAGCACGAGTAGTCAATTCTTTTTCCGTTGTTCCCATATTTTATATTTGTAAATACTGTTGAGTATACTTGTAATAGATCTAAAAATGCAAAAAAAAAAAAAAAAAAAAAAAAAAAAATTTTGAAATATAAAAAATATGAATTTTTTTTTTTTTTTTGCTTCTTTGTGTTGACTCAACAAATCAGCAGATGAACACACGGCGATGAAATACGTTATTATGTTATACAATATAAATTATACTTGAAAAAATTAATAACTGTAACACAAAATCAAATTACAATCAACCTTTTTTATCGAATAAAGTTATTAAGAAAAAGTATAAAAGGTCCGTCAAGTTGACATGATTTTAACCTAGCGGGAAAGGGAAAGGGAATCGAATTTACGTAACCCGTTTTATTTTCCGGATTTGTTGCTGCGCCGAGATTTTTATTCGACAAAGATTGATTGTTTTCGCTTCTTTCACTCGGAAGATACAAGAGCAAATAGTTAATCTCAAATACGTACCCGGAATAACGGCCGGTTTTTACAAATATCTATATGCAAATTTTATTTTTATTATTAAATTTTAAAGTATTAAAATTCATATAATTGATTCAAATAAACATTTTACGCATTGTCACATGATTCATTTGAATATACGGTATATATAACCCGAGACATACGATTTTAATCGTGAAGTTAGCGTTGAGTACCTCAGAATAATTCGAATGTAAATCATAAATCAGTTTATATACAAACAGCTTACTGCGGTAAATCACAAAGAACAAATCTGATGACCGTTGTACTTGGAAATATTTCAACCCCTTCACTCCTATCGTTTTCTGACCAGTAACAGCAATTTACATTCGGTTGCAAGTTTCAAGTATTATAACTAAATACTTGCAAAGTCCAACCACAGCTGCACCTTTAGGAAAAGCCAAATCAAAATGAATGATGTAGACGAGATTTTGGACTTTGATGACAACGTCGATTTCAGTTTTACTGAAGATCCTCAAGCTACTGACTCCAATCTATTGGAAGGCGATGGCTTATTTGACATTGATGCTGAAATGAGCATTGCGACAGGTGGACAGCGAGCTGAAGGTGAGTCGTCGCAACTTGTAGAAGTATAAGTAGATGATGATTGACTGAAAAAAACATTTTCAAATACTCGTAAAAACACAGAGAAATTAAGTGCAGAAGAGGAAAACAAAGAAGTTTCAGAGTTAATTGATAACAAATCGTCTGGAAAAAGCGAGCTAGACAATAATTCAACCTTAGCGCAGCAAAAAGATCAAGAGGAACTTAAATATGGCGAAATTGAAGATTTTGACATGGATGATCCTGACTTCCTTAAGGAATATGGGGAAATTAATGGCGATGATGTGGCTATTGAGGATGACGAATTCTGGAAAGAGTTGGGATTAGACCCACCAAATGAGGTAGTAAAAGTGGACAATGAGAGAACTGCCGAGAAGTCTGAGACTACAGAAAAATTTGACACGAACGATGCAAATATTTCTAAGACAGCTCCAAAAGAAAACACTCCAAAAAGGTCATCATCACAATCGGATGCTGTTAAAATCAATAGCGCGAAATCAGATATTTCTATCAATAAATCTGTTAAAGGAACTGTAAAATCTCCCGAGAAAGAAGATGGTGAAATAAGTAATGTTTCTACATCTCCTGAGAACAATCGGCAAGGACAACAGCAATCACAAAAACAAAAATCATTGCAATCACAACAAGTGCAAGCGCAACGTCAAGCTCAAGCGCAACGCGCATTGCCTCAACGTCAACAACAGCAAAATAATATTCAGCAACAAAATTTACAAAATTATAGAGGACGTGGTAATCGAAGAAATAATGACTGGCGTCCGATTAATAATAGTAATTCGTTTTTAAATAACAACATGTCATCTTTTCGATCAGGATTTGGTCCTGGATTGGAAGGAATGCCTGGGTAATTTTATAATTTATCATGTTCAGATTTCTCAATTAAATCAATATTAATAGAATGATGTTAATCTTAATAGTATACCAATGGGACAAATGCCTTTAAACAATCCACCCATGTTACCAAATCTAAATATGCCTCCAGGTAAGAATTAAGATCCTTTACCTTTTAAAAAATATTAAATGGATGCGATTTATTATTATTTGTGTTTGCAATTGCAATAGCAGAAACAACTTTTTGTCATAAAGTAATTTAATTTTGTAATCTTAGGACCAATGATTGGACCAAATATACATGTTAATCCAAATTTTGCCAGATTACGACCACATGCATTGCCGTTCGGAAATCCTATTAATCAATATCCAATGGGATCAGGCCCCCCAATGAACATGATGCCATATCAAGGACAAATGGAAATGCATCCATATCATCCTTCTATGGCACCAATGGGTGGCGGACGTGGTAGTAATTCGTATGGAGTTAGAGGCGGCAGTCCAGGTTTTAGTCATCATAATTCGATCTCCCCACCACGAAGACTACCAGTAAGTCAGCAGAATAATCAAAGGCCAATTCAACCTTCTCCAAAACGTAAGGTTCCAAATGACGGTTTTGACCAAAAAGAACCTGATAGTAAAAAAATTTCGGTTACAAACGGCAAATCCTCCGCCTCAGATGCAAAATCTACATCATCTACACAAAAAAATGCTGAAAAAAGTAAAGTAACTGGTACAACCGCGACAACAAAGGATACTTCCAGCCCCGCTGCTAAGGCTTCGAATTCTAAGCAAGGAACTTCTACGGCAGTTACCAGCAAAGCAGCTTCGGCGGCCACAAAGAATAAGGTTGCTTCCGGTTCTACCTCAACAAAACAACCCCCTAAACCTGCGCAAAAGCCTACACCAAAAAGCACTGTTAGAAGTTTGCCTACAAAACCATCCGTTGCATCTTCAGAAACGTCTAAATCAACTGCATCACATAGTTCTGCTGCTGGAGCGAACAAATTGACGATTGGTAATGTTGCCGAAGGTGTCACTAAGCGTGAAATTCAGGACTTAGCCAACAAAGTTCCCGGTGGAATTTCGGTAAGTCGATTTGTTTAATGCCTCTTTGCATGAACATCACGATTCAAGATATTGACGAGAATTTTATATTTGAATTCCATTATCTTAGTCGATCACGTTTGATCGTTCGGCCCAAACTGCAGAAGTAGCGTTCAAGACCTCCGAAGGAGCAAAGTTATTCAGAAGAAAGTATAACAGGTACAAACATAATTATTTAATTATTTGTTAAAATATTTTGAAACCAATACTAATGCTAAAATTTTAATGACAAATTTAAAAGAAGCGTCCTCGGCGGATCCAATATTGTTATAAACTTTTCTTGAAAAACTTTTTTTTTTGTAGGTGCCTTCTTGTCAACGTGATTATATCGTGTTGTTTTTTGTCAGGGAGGGATTTCTATTATTATATATATAATTTTTTTTTTTTTTTTTTGCTTTTCGATTCATGATTTTATCTTTATCATTTTACAATCTATTTTTTTTCTTTTATATCTGTGTTGGGAATGGGACGTTGTTTAATACGAACTTTCAAAAATGTTGGTAAAGATTCTTTTATTTTATTTTATTGTAAATTTTTTTTTTTTTTTTTTTTTTTTTTTTTGGTACCCATTTCAAATGTTTTTGTAGAGAATAGATATGGAGATTTTTTCTAATTAGCATGGAATGTCAAGTTGATGACAATATCATCATCTGACAACCAAAAAAAAATTTTTAACAAAGATTTGGCAGTAGTTTAATTTACCTTAATTTAATTTCCTGCGACCATCAAATTTGTGTGTAACAATCATCCAAGCATACTAGTTATGCATTTGTACATAGAACATTTATTAATCACATCATCATATTTGTAATAACAAACAAAAAAAAAAATTCAAACTAAAAAGTTCCTGAATCTTTATTAAAAAAATAATTAATTATTTAATGAAAAGTTTATTGCGTGAATTTAATTCTATCGTGAGGTATAATTATGGATAATATTATTAAAAATGAATGGAATTATATTAGCGTTATTAAAAAATTCAATGTAATTCATCAAAATAATTTCAACAAAGAGGTAAGAATATATTAGTTCAGATAATTAAAAGTTTCCAGAAGAAACTAATTTGGTAGCCAATGCGGCTAGAATTGCTGCCTTATGACTACCGTTAAGTCTTGAATAAGCATCGTAAACAGACGTGCCTATAAAAAGCAAATCAAATTAGGATCCAAAACATCATAACATTTTGGAGATTATAATTTCACATACCTTTTGCATCCCTAATAGCGCCTAATTTTTTTCCAGCATAAGCACCTACTACCAAACCGGGAAAATTGCCAAAAATAAATCCGAGACACGCGCCTGATACAGCACCTATTGGTGTATAGAACCATCCGGGATTTTCTACTTCTGGTCTCAATAAATCTTCAAACACGTTGCCAAAGATTTGATTTGGATCTGCTTGTGATGACTGCCATAAAGTAGAAGCTTCTTGTTTTCTTCGAGATGCTCTCGCTTTATCTATTAAAGCCTCACATATAAGAAAAAGTAATCTAAAATTAATTAATTATATCAAATATGCTTTCGTGCCCGTTTAAGCCTTTAACCAATTTAAATAACACGGACCATATTGCTTCCTCCTTCCTTCGTCACTCAGCACATAATATGCATCAGCTACTCTCTGAAATCGTATTTTTGCTTCTTCTTGAGAAAGTTCTGTATATTTCGTTGAACCTTGTAAATTCGAAGCAAATCTATCCGGATGGGTATCAAGAGCTTTACGCTTATAAGCTTCTCGAATTTTCCTATATATATATATAAGATAGAATTAGTTTGAATAAGTCGTCTTTGATCTTTAAAGACGAAAGTGGACAACAATTACTCAGTTGTGGCGGATTCAGGAACGTCGAGAATTGCATAGTAGTTTGGAAATGTGTTCATATTGTGATCTGTAAAGTTATTAATGGTAAAATACAAAATCGAAAATTTTTTATAAGGCGCTTTCGTTTTATATTACAGGAAAAAAAAAAGCATTAAAAGTTGGCAAATTAATTAATTAAAGGAAATAAATGATATAATATTTATGAAATCTAACTAAAAACTAACCTAAATTGTTTAATTATTGTTATTATTATAATTGTGATCAATATTATCAAGTTAGTAGTAAAAAAAAACAAACATTATTAAAAAAAAAAAAATATTAACTTTTAATTAAATCAAAAAATATTAAATAATAATCACATAATATAATTCATTATATTGCTTATTAGTTTTTAATTAAGAAACTTTATTTATAAAATTTTTGATAGTTACAAATAATAATAAATAATACAGTTTATTTATTGTATTGCTTATTATATTTTTAAATATATAAAATAAATAATGATTTTATTGTATTCATATATATTATAATACCATCATATATTTATAATAAATTTTTATTTAGATACTCTTTTTAAATGAATTTGTAACTTTTTTAAATTTGTAATTAATCTATTTTATATATATAATAATTCTATATGTATAATAAAATAAAATAAAAACTCATGATCTAATACAAGGTTGTAATAGTATATGTATACTAAGAAATTTTAGTACATAATACAATACTCATACTGGTACTATTGTACTTAATACAAATAGCATTCATATATTTTGAAGTGGTAGTATACCTATACGAATTAAAATTTAATACAAAATTAGTATGTTCAGTATAATTTTGATAATCTGTGTAATAAAACGTGTAAATAAAAATTAACATAAACAAAGTTTTTTCCTGTAATCTCTTCAAAAATAAAACTTTTTTAAAAGTTTCTCTTTACAATGGTATAAAGTTTAAAAAAATATATTATTTTAACAAATTTAAAAAGTAATACTACTAATAAAATATGCTATCATAGAATGTATTTTAATAAGCTTGATAAAAACTATTCTGAATTAAAAAAAAATAGTAAATAAAACTGATAGAATTTTAAACTATTTTAAAAACTGTCAAAACTTTCAATCTTTATATAGCCAAGAAGAAAATGATAAAGTATTTTCAATTAATAAACAAAAAAATACAATTTCAATTAAAAGAATATATAAGTAATTCTTATATAATTATATACTTAGTATATTTTAATATTATTACTATATTATTATTTAAAATTAACATTTCACATATTTTTTAATAGTAAATGAGTCTAATTTAGCTATTAATTCAATAATTAAATGAAGAGAATCATTTTCTTCATGCTTTTCATTAATTTCATTACCTTCTCAATAGTCAAATTATGAATCAATAGATTCATTTATTACACAATCTCTTTTAAGTACAGATAAAGTAAAATTTCATATGCATTTATTATAAGTTACTATTCCTTATAGATTTTCACTATCTTGGATAAACAATCCAGAGGTCATTAAATTATTTAAATTTCTTAATCTACAAATTAAACTACCAGATCAAAAAATCCTATCAAATGAAATTTTAAATGAAACTATTAAAGAATTTGATATTAGGATATTAGAGAAATTAGTATTAAATCAAATAGGAATTACTCTTTCTTTTTATAGTTAGATGAACATTCGTGAACAAAAATTAATGGAAATAATATTTATATTATCTGATAGATAACTATATGTATGGAAAATTTCTAATATCAGTAGTAAAAGAACAATCAATTTTGAAATTAGAATTAAAGTAAAGAAAATGATATCTAAATTAAATGAACTCAAAATACCTCTTTTAACTATTGTGATAAATAGTACACCTACTTATAATGTAGCAAGATAAATAAATTATTGTTTATTTTAATAATGATTTTTTAATATTTTAATTTAATTATATTATTCATATATTTTAATAATAGAAAAGACTTCAAGTTCAATATCAGAATATTATTTTTTTACCTTACTATACATATTAAATTAATTTGTATGTAGGAAAAATTTTTAAGATTTCATCTGAACTTAAAAATACATCACATCAAGCTTTAAAATAGTGTTTATTTCAAAAATTCAAATAATAAATATTTTATTGAAAAGCTTCGAGACATTCAAATAGAAATATATGGAAAATGTATTCAACCTATAGTTTTAGATGATATAAGGTAGAATAGTTACTTTAATTATTATAAAAGTTTGAATATTACCAAAAATGTTTTATAGGTAAGTTAAATTATTATTTAATTTTATGATTACAATACAATAATTTAATTAATTTACTATTTTTATTATTAGTTTTTAGCTATAAAATTTAAACTTCCAACTTTTACAACCAAGAAATGACTAGTAGATCTGTTAACAATTTCACGTGAAATTTATAATATAATTATAAATGGTTATTTTTTGGGGTTACTAATAAAATTAGAACAACCTTTACTTCCTTATTGTGTTATTCTTAACATTTTGCAAACTAATAAAGTATGATTATTTGAAGTTTTGCATGAGTTTATTATATTTATCAGTTTTGGCAAAAATATCTGGACAATAATATGGCTAATAGAATTTTAATCTTATTACAAAAAAAGATGAGAATTATAGAAATAACCTTTTCTCATTTTCTTTTGACTTCTCCATCTAGCTTATAGATCAAATTATTTTACATTATCATTAAGATCACAAATTAACTATTTACATATGGATAAATAGCTAGTTTATTATTATAAAGTTTGGATTGAAAATGATTCTATATCTATCCTTAAAGAATTTAATGAATTTTCTCAAGAAATTAAATATCCTTTTGATGATGCATCTGTAACTTAATTTGAAAATAATATTCATAACTATTGGTGTTAGATTCAAAATACTTATCTAGATATTAGAACTATTACAGCATGTATTTTTGAAATTTGTATCAATGTTACATTAGTTAAATGATTATGAAGTAATATAAGTTTTCTCTATATAAAAAATAAAAATCAATTAAAGGTAATTATGTATTGTAATTATTATATTAGTTTAGTTTTTATTTGTTTTTTATATTATTAAATAATTTAATTTATTATATTATTTTATATAGTTTTCTTAGGTATTAAATATGTCAAAACTTCAGATTAATATTACTTACAAATGATGTAAACAAAAATCTGTATTATCAAAATCAGTTATGGTTAATATTAATTCAGAGCAACATATTAATTTGGATAATTTGGATAAGGAAAATAATTCTAATATAATAATAATAATAATAAATTAAATCATACGAAGATTGAAGAAAGTGATAATGATGATAACGATAGTAATAATAATATTAATATAGAAGAACAATTCTAAAATTAAATAAATTAATATTTAGAAATAGATGATGATGATAATAATAATGATAATGATTTTGATATAGATGTTGAAAGTATTGAACATC